CACACACACACACACACACACACACACACACACACTTTCCAGGATAATAGATATGCAAGCGATATGCAAGTGTAACTAGATGTTTATATTATTCTGTTAGAGAATACAAGTTTTCTTTCCTGATTGCCCCATTCCCTGATGAAAATACTGTTTCCTAACTCTGGCAATTTCAGCAGTTCCTTGCACCACGTCATTAATCACCCAAGTGTCATGTGTTATCTTACCTGCAGATGTAATTCGTCTTGCAAGTCTCTTGCAAATTCAGGCAGTTTGGTTTCTCCCTGTCCTCATAAGAACACGCAGGGACAATAGTCTGTCGTCTTCTTTCTGTACATGCAATATCTCGGCAGGAACAGAAGAGCATTCCATAACTATGCTTGGGGGGAACTTTGTCAAAAAACTGCCTTAGGGCCTTGTGACACTTCCGCTTGTTGCAGATTTCATTAGACACACTGTAGGTACAGGGTGTTATGTACGCCGATCGATATTTCTTGCAGATATCATTCAGGTTACAGGCTTTTGCAGCATCCAGACAGTTGTTCCCTTTTGAAATGACAGGCTCCGCTGCATAAAAAGTAGATGAAAAGATTATTGCAGCAAGTTGAAACTTAACTCAAGAAACTCATGATTATTGCAGAAAATATGAGGCAGCTTTTGACAGGAAATATATAAAGACATAGTTCATTCATTCATTCGTTTGTTTGTTTATTTATTTGCTTTCACATTTATATACCACTGTTTATACACCAAATGTATATACCTTGCTGTTTTAGGGCAACTACAATAGTAGTTGCAATGCTCAGGCCACAACTTCAGGAATTATTTGATTTAGTCACAGATTTTTGAAGACCAATCTCTAAATCTCAGCAAAAGTAAAAATACCCAAAAAACTGTAATTGGTAAAAGATAGTTGTAGCATCCTACTAGATTTTAACATCACTACAGTCATAATTATACATTAAATCCCAAGTTTTTATTTTGTCTACAACAGTGTGTGCAGAAATGCAAACTAAATCCAAGCATAATTTCCATATAATTTGCAGGGCATATAATTATGCAATATAGGCATGGTAGACACTAATTACTATACGATTACAGAGTAATTATATGCCTATTTGTTTCTAGGAAGCAAATGTTATGCAAAATGCCTTAAACTATGCTGCCTGCAATAAGCAGTTACCAAGATTCTGAGCTACTGCATGTCAAAACATAGATTTATCTTGGTATATTCTAATATTGCTAGCAGTCTAACATGCTGCCTCCAGTTAAGAATGAAACAGGGGAGTTGAGCTTCATCTGAGACTCAGATTTTTGTCACTCTGCCACTTTGTCCTCAGCCACAAGGATACATAGGTTTCTCAAGAAGCAAAGCTTCAAAAAATAATAGAAAGTAAGTCCATCATGCTGGTCTTTTCCATTTGCATTAATCAAGAAACAAGATCTATTTTGATCTCTTTACAGGTAGTCCTTGACTTATGATGACAATTGAGCCCCAAATTCATGTTTCTAAGTGAGAAATTTGTTAAGTAATGTTTTCCCTATTTTACAACTTTACATGCCACATTAAGGTAAGTGCAATTGAATAACTGCAGTTATTCAATTAGTAACATAGTTGTTAAATGAATTGGGCTTCCCCATTGATGTTGCTTGTCAGTAGGTTGCAAAAGGTGATCATGTGACTCTGTGAAACTACAACCATCATAAATATGAACCAGTTGTCAAGTATCCAAATGTAAATAATGTGACACGGAGCAATGCTGCAACGGTTTTAAGTGTGAAAAATGATCACAAGTCACTTTTTTCAGTGCTGTTGTAACTTTGAATGGTCATTAAAAATGTTATAATTTGAGGGCTACCTGTATTTTTAATATAAATAAATATAAATATAAATTTACATTTATATTTTTACAAAGGCAACAGTAAAAAAATATTGGGTTTCTGTCATGATGGACTCTTGTGACGAGCCGATTGACAGATGATGGAAGCAGTTAGCTTCCTCCCATAATTGGGGCTTACCAGGGGTTGTAAAAATCTAATAGATACCTTCCACCCTGGCTTCGCTGATAACAGGATAAGAGCCTGTGGCCTAATGGCTAAGATCTCTGCCTAGTATGCCTAATATGCAATATAGCCCAGGTTCAAATCCCAGTAAGGGTATGGCTAGCTGATGAGAGCTAAATAGCTTGAAATAGATCTATACTAGTCTCCCTTTATTTATTTATCAGCACAAATAAAAACACACGCACACACACACACACACACATATATACACACATACACACACACACACACACACATACACATACACATATATATATATATTAATATCAGGCACTATTGCTTTAACTTCAGGAAAAACATGTGCGTGTTTTGTGTACACTGAGTGAATACTTGTATATTGTCCAAATAAATCTTTTTTGCAGTAGGGAAACTTAAAAAGGAATCAAGGTGAGAAAACTCAGCATGAAAATAGAATTAATGGACAAAAGTAATAGCAATAGCAATAGCACTTAGCTTATATAGCTTCAAAGTGCTTTGGAGCCCTCTCTAAGCGGTTTACAGAGTCAGCATATTGTCCCCAATAGTCTGGGTCCTCATTTTACCAACCTAGGAAGGATGAAAGGTTGAGTCAACCTTGAGCCACTCAGAATCAAACTCCTGGAGTGAGCAGTGAGTTAGCCCTGCAGTACTGCGTTCTAACCACCATGGCTAATAAAATCTAATGAGGCTATTAATACAAAAAAAGAAACTATTAGTTGGCAAATATAATATACCCATATTTTTCTGAGTATAAGACGCACCCTTCTCTCTCCTAAAAGAGCTTGAAAATGTTGGTGGGTCTTATACACCAAATACAGCCATTTTTGGCCTCCTGAAGCCCCAGACCTGCATCCCATTTTTGCAAAAAACGGGCCATTTTTCACAAAAACTAAGGCATTTGTCTTTCCCCAGCCTCCAGCAGCACTATGCAGGCTTCAGCAGGGCTGGGGAAAGGCAAAAACTGAAAAATGGCCTGTTTTCCTCAAAAACAGGGGCGTTTTTGCCTTCCCCCAGCCCGCTGAAGCCTGCACAGTGCTCCTGGGGGCCGGGGAAGACAAAAACTTTTTTTCTTACCTCTTCGAAATCTTGGCGCATCTTATATATCGGTGCATCTTATAGTCCAAAAATATGGTATATGTAGTAGCGTTTTCATTGACACAAATTCATGGACTTTTTAAGCAGTAACATTCAATGAAAAACATAGGGAGTGCTATGCTATGCATAAGTCTACAGTAAAAGCAAATATTAAATCTTTTTGATATTCTACATCTGCCAAGAAACATGAAGATATTCCCAAAAAGAGCATATGTCCTTTTTGGACATGTTCTTTATGCATCAGCAAGCATAATTAATAGAAGTAATCCAGACTTAACTTCTAAATTAATGTAATATTCCAAGATATCTGACATCTATCATCTGAATCATGATAAATATTCAGATTCCCATCAAGTCCCAGAAATATTCTGCTTCTACCAATACTGAACAATTGTTGGTACCTTGTCGGTATGACATTCAAAGTATAAGTTGTGTTTAAAGTTGACCTAGAACCAAACAAATTAGTTATTTGCTCCGAAATATATTTTTCATGCCTTTTTCTGAACTTGGTTGTTTGCTTGCAGATGTTTTATTATATATTATGAATTTTTGTAATTTGTTTGTAATTTTTTTTGTAATTACAAATTACAAAAACAATGTGATATATCACATTTTAATTCTGTAGTACATCTTTCTATTTGGCTAAATAATCAAAACAGTTTGCAAAATTTCCTATATTAATGCTTTCTTGGCTAAAACATATAACATTACTATAATGTTGCTATAATCATCTGTACATTTGATTCTGTCCTTGTGAAGCTAGTTCAGCCAATATACTGCTTATAACTATTTTTAGGTTTTAATCCATCCATCCATCCATCCATCTATAAATGGCTCTCTGTGTGTATGTGTGTGGGGGTGTCTGTGTGTGTTTGTGTGTTCCAGCAGAACTCTGGAATGCCTTGAGCAATTTCAACCAAACTTGGTACACAAATGACTTACTCTCCAGAAACAAATACTGTGGGCGTAAGTCACTCCTAAAACATCTCAGAGTTTGTGTTCTGTTAATATAGAGCCTGTTGTGCCTTAAAATGACTTCTACTGTTCTGCTGTAAAATGGTTTCTACTGTGCAGCGCACTGGATTTTCTTCACAGTGCTCCACGAGGGGGCTCCCTCTAGTAAGGGGAAAAATTCAACATTAGAAATTACTTTTGGTCCGGACAATTCCTCCCTATAAATAAATACCGGCAACGCCAGGTTATCGGCTATTTTTTATAAATAAATCAATGCAACCAACATACTTAATACTTGTTCTGATTTCTATTTTGTAATAACAACAACCCTGTGAAATTTTTTATGTCCATTAATTCAAGAGTCTCATTTTCTGAAAAGCTTAACAACTGGAACTTCTCCCGATTCTTCTGAATCTCCTGATTCTGAATCTATACTAAACGTTGATCAATAAAGCCAATGTGTACATTTCTCTAAGTATCTATTGGTGCACTGTAACATATAAATTGGAAATGAGGCTAGAAGCCATGAAGTTGACCTACTGGAAACTAATTTTTAACAAATCATCTTCAGTCCTAAGTGAAGGAATGACATGGGCTACTAGCACCACTGAGCTAATAATGATTCTTCCATGGAATCAGAATGCTCCAACTAAAGATTTTCCACTGTGAAATTGAATCAGGAATGGAGAATCTTTGTTCTTTCGATGTTTTCAGCTTCCACAACCAAATTCAAACTGAGTGATGAAGGCTGAGTAATGAAGGCATTTGTAATCCAACACGAGGATTTCCATCACCGGTGTAAAAGTTATATTTTTAAAGAAACAAGGAAGTACTTTGTTCCTGACCACTACAACAAATTAACTGACTGAAATCTATGTGGAAGCAGTGCCAATCGTTGTATCAGTTATTTATATTCGGGAACAGTAAGTTCAGGTGCAACAACAACTGTAGCTCAAACATGTTGAAACAGACTGTCAGCCTTATCAGGTAGATCAGACAGAACTCAAGGCCAGATAAGCTAATTCTACTTTATTGTAAAGCTACATTAACAGAATCTTGGAAATCTGAAACTACAATTCTTCCGGCATGATGTTTATAGCCCAAGAAATTGGGTAGGGGGGCCCTCGTGACACTCTTGCTCCACCCACTATGTAGCTGTGGCTATGCTCCCTATTATGTGAATGCTCTCTAGTCAGCATCTCCTTGTGTAGTCTCCCAAAGCCATTCCCACATACCTTTTACCTGTATGGTATGTTGCTTTTTTAATTATTTGTTTTTTATTATTATTGTTTCCACTCCCATCACAACTGATACAATTATCACTAGGTAGTATTAACATTCTTGTGGATTGTCCTATGAAGGGAAGTAGCCTGGTAAAGATTCTTTCCAATCTCTAGGATAATCTATAGCATACACTTGCTATTTTCACCTAATGTTTAAATCAGAATGTCTTTATATTGAATGGGGAAATTAAC